GTATGTGGGAAGATCTATTTGGGGGGGGGGGGGAGTAGTGTTAAAGGCGATATCTTAAAAAAAACAGGGTAGGTGGTATCATGATTCCAGAAGTATTCCACTTTTGAAGTCGATCTTAATTCACAAAAACCTGATCTGTTTCTACTTGTAATGGTCACCAACAAATCGACATCATTTCAATAATCCTTCTGCGGTGAGTCAGCCAAACCAGCTATCCTTCATTTGATATTCAGAATCAGTAACCACTCGGGTTCACTGTTTGTAGCCACCGATGTAGTGCTCCGAGTCACCTCATGAAGCTATACCAAAGTGGGAAGCTCATTGATGAGGCAGCGCGGGGACAGGGCAGAACCAGCGGAGATTGAGGAAACCGTATTTTCAAGATCCATTTAAATGTAGCAAAATAATACGGTAATGTGGTTCATGGCCTTCTTTATCTGTCTGCAGTTGTGGATGCTGTTGCCGAGGCCAAGGTGGGGGTGGTCAGGACTCAGCCTTCAACAGTGGTGGCACACCAACGGTTATATGCGACTTCGGTGCGGTGGGCAGCACTTCGCTGCACTCGATGACTTCAGAGGGTCAGGACAGCGCTCTCGCCCTCTCTGAGGTCAAGGACGATGGCACACCTGATCTGCCCCTCCTCCATGACGCCTCTGGCACTTTCGGGTCCATGGTAAGTTCTCCATCAATCTCTCCACCCATCCATCCCGATTCAACCTATTTATCATCCATTCATTCATTTTGGTTTCACCTATCCATCTTAGCTGCACCTCCTTCTAGACTGCTAATTTGCAATCGCGTTTCGAGGATAGAGAAGCCTTGCGGAGGTTTCTTGATTCCAAATTAGAGCATTTATCAATAACTTTGCATTTGTTCAATGGGGTTGGAACCCTGAGATTCCAAGAGACCTAAAAATATCGAAGGCTTTAACTGACAGTACGCAGCACCGTTGGGTCTCTGGCACGTCTACCATATGCTCGAGTAGGCTTTGAAAAAACTGCTCACGAGGGTTTTTATGGTTTGAGAATGGTGATCCGTTCAATAGCTTTCGGTGTTTTCGAATCCATTGTTGGTCTTTCAACTAAGCTGCACCATTTCACCAGCTTTATTTACTTAGGCTTTGCAATTTGTGGGTCCTCGATTCCGAGGTTATCGGAGACTTGCGATAAAATGTGGTATTTCTGAAGTAAAGGCCTAATCAACCGGTTTCAGGGTAATTAGATCCGTGGTCGGCCACGTAGCCGTCCCCTTCCATCTCTTTTTCCCGCTTACCTCCAGTTCTCGTAGTTTTTATTTCACGGCGCTTTAGATTTAGATTTCGAGATTATCGAAGGCCTCCTAATACATCTATGAGTGTTTCATGGTTTGACTTAAGTTTGAATTTAAGACACGCCAGCCATCTTTCATTTCCTTCCAGATTCTTCGTTTCAGAGACCCATGTCTGCTCCGGCTCAAGGTTCTAAAAACCTTTCATGTGGATTGCCTACCATAATTTTTTTGCCTCGGTAAGCATAAACGGTAAATATTGTGGCTCTCTGTCCGGCTTTCGCTGACTCAAAGCATGTAATTTTGCTTCCTGTACATCTGGGGAAAATTTAGTTAATTGTACTTTCTCCCCATTTAATACTCCCAAGAATCAACCGCATTACAATCACCAGTGAGTTTAGTCCTTATTTGTATTCTACTCAAGTTTAAATCAGCCTAGGATATAAAATAAAAATAATTTTTACTTCAACTTGAGAAATTGGGAATGATAGTGGAGCAGACCTTCGACCAATTGGAAGGCTGATTTCCGCCTGTCAGATGGGTCGATGTCTAATCTTTCCGATTGGTGAGAATTTTCAGGTCTCATCGCAACATCCTTCATGTTTCTTTTTTTTCTTTTTCCGGGGGATTAGGGAGAAATTTAAACACATCAATTGGGCAGCAAAGAGGTGATGCTTGTAACTACTATGGTTACTAGCAATCCACATCCGCAATAGTAGTGGCCATTCCCTCTTTAACAACTGTTTCACTTTGTATGTATGTAATCACCTTTTTTTGAGGAGAAATTTGAATCTGTAATTACTTCCTGAATGTCCGAGCTAGCAAAAGCTCTAAATGTGGCTTTGGAATGTAGGTGGGTGAATATTTTGCGTGAATTCCTTTAGTCTTTTTACGGCAAAACTTCACAACAACCTCACTGGCTTTTCATAGTCTGTCATTCGGAGAGTTCAAATACGCCATGCTTTTCGTCAAGGAGAAAACTCCTTCAAAGTGTCCAGAATTTTAGCATTTTTATAACCTTTATCTTATTCTGCGCAAACATAGTGACTGGAGTTTCTGTGAATGGATAAATAAATCCCTGAAGTTTATTTTGAACAAAGGACCTTCTACTTTTCCATAACAATGAGTTGAACGGAACCTACTTGGCAAGGGATTTTTTCTCTTGACAGGTTCAGAAACTGACATCAAATTAGGCTATAGTAGCCAGAATTTCCTTCTCGACCTGATGCATTTTGACTCACATTTCTTATCTCATCTGCGATTGGTTGAAAATTGTGTGATTTTCTTCTGGTTTGTTGCTAATGAGACTGTGAGCCTTCTAGAAGAAATCAATTGTCTGCTTTTGACATCTCTCCTCTTAGTGGTTCTTTCTTCGATTATTACGATTGCTCACTCCATTGGTCGGCTTTGAAGGTAGGCCAGATGGCCCAATGATGGGCTGTGTTGTCAAAGTCAATGGAGCTCAAGGTTGTAACTCACCTTTCTCTCTCTACCCAACTCTTTCTGACATCAAGAACACTGCTTAGATTGGCTTTCCCCTTCTCCATCACTCTATTCCACGCCCACTTTTCAATGCGGAACAAGGATTTTAAGACCATCCTTTTTTCCCCATGAACAGGATATGCGCTTTATCCTCTACAATGATTCGCTGGTTCAGCAACAGTGGAGTTAGTTGATTTGGTTTGAATACCAAGGAACTTAATGATCCATTTACTTAATAGGTGGGGCATAAAGGAACATGGCCTATTTTTAAATGCTTGTGAACTCGAAACAGTTTTGCGGGAAACGAAAGTGCGGTGTATCAAACACTGATACATTAGTCATGAGTGTAATTTTGTACAAGATCATCTAATTTTCCTTAGTGATTTCCTCATATTTAAGATAAGTCAAAAGAGGTGTCACCTTTGACGTACTCAGTAGTTCCTCTGGAAGTGACCTTGAAAGAATCAATCAACGTGAGACGGGTTAAATATCCTTTTCGGTCTACTTAGCCTAGTTTAATGACTCGTAAAATCCGATTTTAGTAGCAGTTTGGCCTAGATTCAATTAGGGGCAAAACCCTAAGCAATGCCATCATCTTACTTTATGTAAGCTCCGCGCTCAATGAAATCGGAGGTAGTAGACACCTGCCACAACTATCGCATTGAAAGGGCATACTGTTTTAATTTTACACTAGAACTAGTCTTTTTAGATGACTCTTCATGCTTAACGTGCTCTGAAAATACCCCTCGTTACCTCGCACTACTAAACTTCGTGTTTATTTGACCTTGAGGTGGCCAATCAGCGTCGTGTTGATCCAAAGATGGGTTTCTTCAATGGCATTGGTGGATTTTCCTCAAGCCAATAGGTGCTCAATTCCCATTTCAATGATATTTTATTTTAATAGGATCAGAGAATGCTATTCTATAAATATTATTCTACAAAAACCATTGTTAAGTACCTTAAAAAGACCAATTACTATCAAGGATTTGTGGTTCCAATAGCGTCCATTCCTCTTGACAAATGACGGGCAGATCTCCCTTTTATTGATGCTTGTGCTTAAATTCAACTACGGAGCCGTCTTATGATTTCGTATCGCTTAGTGAAGTTGAAATCAAACGCAAATCTCTTCACCCAAGTCCTCACAAGTAAGGCGTAGGGTGTCTATGTAAATCTGATGTCACAAACTACCCCTCTCCCAGTTCTTTTGGTTTACTTGAAAAGTACAAATGCGCAGAGGGGCTTGATTTCCCCGCCACGAACACAAACACACACGGGTTACACTTGCAAAAATGCGTGATCCGCGACCTTGACGTCTGTCGACGTGGTAACCGTGTGAGAGCGCGCACGCACGCGCCTGTGTTATGCTGTCTGCTACACCGGCTCAGGCAGCAGAAGCAGCGTCACGCATATATGGGAAGGAGGGGCTTGATTTAATGGGATTTGTAAATCAGCTAGACCATTCATTAGCCAGCGAATTAAGGACTGCCGCCACTATCGTGGTCACCTTGAAAAGGCCTATTCCGTGTTTCATTTTATTAAGTATCAACAGTTTACCGTTGTCTATAATGATAATTATTAAATTCGCTAGAAATTGAAGAACGTCCTTAGTGCTGATTCACTACTTTGCTGTTATAATTTGGACTCAACCATTTTAGAAGCTAGAAGTTAATGTGGAATTGTCAAATTGGTATTAGCGAAAGTAAATAAGCAATCCAGATACAAAATTTGAATTTCATAGATTACATTTATGGAGAGGTTTTGGCTGTGGCGTCCAAGCCAACCCTGAAGAAGTGAAAAGCCAAACGAACTTACAGGAGGCCTGTGAGACCAGTAGCGGGAAAATTAAAGTTCAGATACACAACTAAACCGAATGCCATTCTACTACGTAGCTACCTTTGATATTTTTAAAAGATAATTGTGTTACGACTTCCTTAATTTCGTGGTTGCTATGCCATTCTCAGCCAGGAATTTAGCCCGGTTTTATAGTTAATAAACAGCCTTTAATGGAATCATAATTTACTAGCGCATTCTTTGTTTTGACGGGCATTTTAGTCTCCCGTGACTCAGCCACCCATATTAGTTACCTTCTTCGATGAGGTTATTGTATTCCATTCGAGTGAATTCGCCAACACTTTTACCGACATATCACCCGAGTTACTAGTGCCTAAGACTGCGAGCTGGTTGGGGTAGGTGGGGAAGAGCGGGGCTCTAGACGCCAATGTGGAGGCGGAATCTCACGAGACTGGAAAGATTTATGTAAATGGCTGAAATTCTACCACATAGATCACGTCTTCTCCTGAGCCTCGCACCTTGTGCTTCTTAGAACTACCTCCCCGCTTTGATCTGTTCTGGCATTTAAGTGATTTTTACTCGGCTTTGAGGGCAGGAACAAAAAGGATTATGCTTTTTTTTTAAAACGAAAAGGCTCCTTATTTCTATATCGTGGTTTGAAATGAGATCCCTCCTACTATTATACCTATCTTTCCTTCTCCTGTGGGGGGGAGTCATTTGGAAGCAGGCTTATCCCCTCCTCATTTTTACTTCCCACAATGTTGCCATTATCAAGCCGAATTAATTACTCCAATGGTTTAGAAAGCTCACTTTGAAGGAAAAATTCAGTATTTTTTTCCCCTTTACTATTGACTGCGACATTATCACAAGGCGATTGTCATGGTAGCCACTAGCGTATTAGGGGTATAGCAAGGGTCTTTATTTTGTTCTCCCATTCATTTTATGCTCTGTCGGTTAAAGTCCAAAAGTAGGTCCAGACATTGTAATGGCGGACTGTCTTGTTTGAGACTGGAATTTGGTAAAAATAAATTCCCTCCTAATGAAGGAGGAGCATAGAAAGTGGTAAATTACTGAATTACGTTTTTCCACGAAAAAAGGATCTCAATCAAACTGGGTTTTAGCAGTCCACACTTACGGGTTATTCTAACTTTGGTGGTTATTTAATGCGTGAGTTAGTGCTCCAAGCTTTCATTATATAACTGTAATAGTCCAAAGCATTTAATTTTCGCGGGCCCACCTCTTGTCGATTTAATTGGTTATTTCATCTTTCAGAGAGCTACTATCGGTCATTATTTACACTAATATGTGAAAGTGAATTCACAAGTTTTGCATCCAAATTTGACATAATTGTGACCTGCTTCCAAATTTTTAATCGGTCCACAACGTAGCGTCACTCCCGCGGTCTTCGTCGACTCATACAAATTCGCTTTTACTTTACAGTCAATTTCCACATGACTTCGTTTTCTTCGCCTCCTTTGCCATTGCTTAATTGTTTAGAAAGTATATGTATTTTTTGATGCCATTTTTAACTCCAAACCACATTTATTTTGGTACCACCTAACGCAGGGGCGATTGTGATAGCCTTAGTGACACTGTAAGTGGAAAGCCGTGCTTCTTGGATAATTGAGATTGACTCAATTCCTTTTTAGACGTGACTATTTTTTTCTACTACAAAAACCTTGCCTTATGAAATCATTTGGAAAGCGAGCCGTAATTAATTTAAAGTCTTCACCGCATTGTTAAAGTGGGAGCACCTAGTTCGGCACCACTGTCGGCGCCTTCGTAAAGTCTGTGGGACCTCAGTTATCCCAGAAGGTATCATAAGGTTGATGGGCCTAGAACCAACTTCATTGTTGAGGTGCTACCTTCTAGTGGACTTGGAGCATAAATAGAATGATCGATGGGCTGTATACATCCCAACTTGACCTAAGCGTCCTTTACATTCTTATTAATCACTGTGAAATGTAATGTTTAGCCTTATTTGGATATTTTTCAAATGTCTATGGGCTTATCTGCCACTTAATCGTCGCAAACTGTGTTGTCAGGGTTTGTTTGCTAATCAAGGTTCACGGCTTATTGAAGTTCTACTGCGAGCACATCCCATGAGAAGCTCTTTGAAGCTTCGCCTTGACTTTCTTCTTCCCGTTGTCCTGCCCTGTCATTGCTAACATGCTGCCTACCAAGGCCATTCCCAACTCTTTGAACCGGGGGGAGGTGTTGGGCTATGAAATACTGCCCATAATTTCGTAATTTCACATCGGCATGGTACAGTTGTTGCATGGACGCTCATAATATATTCAAAAGTGACCTCGCTCAACCACTGCCTGAGGCTGAGATAACTGCCGAAATTCAACGTGATTTTCGTAGAGCTTCTTCTCGACATCCACAACAGATGCCTCTTTCTACGACGGTTTGGTGTCACACCCAGCCAGCAAAGTCGGAAGTGTTGTCGTTTCGAACTGAGTGGGCCGATGCCCAATTCATTCCTGATGACGTTGTGGAGCATAAGAGTTTGGAAGAGGCTCTATTATTTGTGAACTGAGAAACTAAAAGAAACTCCATGCTATCATCTTGAAGGTTGATTCATGGAGTGGCAGTTTGCTTCATGTCAATAATTTCATCCGTCCAACAGACTGTATTGACACCTGTGCACATTAAATTCCCCCTGACGGTTTCGAAGATCCTTCAAATCTGCCATCTCCAACTTTTTCATGTGTAATGGAACCCGCCAAATCGTTTAATGTAGCTCTCTGAAGGCGTCCATTCATCAACCTCCTTGATACCGAACCCTGTGTTTAAAAGGTTAAGTGGCATCTCAAACACCGCATTTAGACTCCTGCAATTGGCCCATATTTCCTTCACCGGCAGGTTCGCTTTTTCTTTGCCTTTGTACGTCGGTTGAAGTGGAGCTGCTTGCAAGCTTGGTGCGTACAGCCTCCTCGAAAGTGACTCTTATGTTGGCTTCCAATAGGTGAGAAAAAACTCAGATGTAAGTGCATTACGGTGGCAGTGGATAACCTTGACTAACCTTTTTCTCATTTATTAATAAATTCATAGTTGGGCCTCAGGTGTTATTTTGCTGGTGATGGATTGCATCAATGGTATGGAGATCTATGTTGACATCAGATGACATGAATGACAGATCCGCTACACTTCTAAAAGGATTCCTCTTGAAGTTGTAAATCACTTCCGAGTTCCGACTGTAGATCTTTAATAACCTGTCAAGGTTGCCTTTTCATCACAACAGTTGAGTGAAACAATTCTACCTGTTTCCTCTGCAGTTTTACAAATCCCACCTCATATTATAATTGGCTGCCGCTTTTTTGACTTGCTTTCGCCGGACAAGCGGCCATTAAAATGAGAAAACTTTTCCTAAAGATGCCTTTCTTGTCGATTGCGAGGCTTTTGCCCAAGCTTCTGCATTTGGTATTGCAGAACCTCCACAGTACTTCCTTTTGCCTCAACATTGATTTGGCGTTGGTAAGGGGCGTTTTTGTTAAGGACTGAGCAACTGTTAACAAAACTTACTTGAGAATGTTATTTTAAAGGTCAGAAGGCTGATAAGCATGAGTGAATCAGTTATTTTTACCCAATCTTACTATACCTGAACCACGGTATTTAACGAAGCAGCCACCATGATGGAGGCATGAACCCCGGCCATTAATTTCCCGGCCCGCCCTTCGGTTTGTTAGCCATTATGACTTATTGAGGGATAATTCCGAACTTGTTTTTCCCCATTTTCAGCTCCTGGCCAACGTCTACCAAGCTCAAAGCCTCCTGCCTAACCATCCAGCGTCTACGACGACATCGGCAACAACGGCGGCAGCCGTAGCGGGAACAATGACGTCAACTGCTGCAACAACGGGATTGGGCGATGTGGACAAGACGAACACCTTCTCACTCCCTACCACCCAATCACCTGTCCTGCTTCATTCCTCGCCTTTCAGTACTACTACCGCCCCCGATTTGGAACGTCTAGCTCTGAGACAGGAGCTGGAAGAGACACGATGCAAGTTAAATGCTGTAAGTGACGTGCTTCTACGTGTCCTCCCTGCTTCCATGGTTAGCTTCTGAATTAAGTCATTTTCTATCGGTGGGTTTTTGTGGTGGATCAGGGGATTAGTTATGAAATAAGGGGATTTTGACTGTGATTCGCTTAGTTTAGTAGTTTAGAACAATTTGCTGTTCCCATGTCGGCATCTTCTGCAGGGGATGCAGATGTAATTTTTCAGAACGATTGGTTGAATTCCATTTAAGATGTTTTGCCATTCTTCCCTTCGTAGGTGAAAATCCATAATTTTTCCAGCTTGGAACAAGATTAAAGGTCTTTAGTCCTAAATTTATCTTCCTTCATTCCAGCACACAAAAAAGGTGGAAGGATAAAAATAATTGCCTTTGTTAAACACTCACACCCAACCGGCAAACTTAGGCTTGAGCATGGGCTCAAATCGCTACATTTGAGCTCATGTTGTGACCTTGCGTTTTATGATATCACTTTGAACACACTGTGAACAGCTCATTTGTGGCCAAAATAGTTTAACCCTGGCTCAATTTTGGATATCTTTCGATTCTCCATTCTTGAGTCTTTACTCTCCATTGTCTGGACTCTCGACTCTCTGGACTCTTACTGACAGTGGACGAATGACGTTTGTTTCAACTACCAGTAAGAACGAATTAGGGCGTCAAACAGTTTTATAATCTGTTTCAATGCGTCGTAGTTCTTGTTGTTGCCATAAATATGGAATTGTGGCTGTTGAGATGCCAACCAATTAAGAGCCCTTCAGTGAAGTATTATAAAGCTGTAACTAGCTATGAACAACGCTCATAATTTCTGTTTGTACTTGAAATGATTTTCTATCTCTCCAAGCTTCTGTACTCGTTAATTTCCTTTATTTGTTTATTCCTGTCGACTTGGGTGTGTGTATGTGTTTAACCTCCCTTGTCGGAGGGCTCAAACAACAAACAACCCGACAGCATTGTCCAACAGTTCATTTGGATGAATCGGAGATGTGTGCATACTTATAATGTGACTTCGTTATGCAACTGCGGAGAAGGAGAGCGGATAACTTAGTCTGGCCTTGACTGAGCGTTTTGATTGGTCTACTCTACGTTACTTGCAACCATGGTGATAGTTAAATAAGGTATTACGCTTGCGTAAATATGGTAAGAAAAAGCGGTTAAACGACTGCATTAATTGAGGTTTCTCATGGCCCTGTGGGTTGGGTTGAGGGCTAATTAAAATTGGTTAAATATACCATTTAATTGTACCCAGGACGATTGTTTAAATCTCGATTTGGGTTGCCTATAAGACTATACAGAATCTAAATTTGTTAGCTGTATATGCGGTTGATCCCTTAAAAAGTAGCTAAAGTATACTTTCTGGGTGAGTACTTAATCTATACCTGCTTTAGTACCTATTGACTACTAGCCCAGAGGACCCCACTTAGCGCGAAGGCATTATAAGACGGGAGTTTCTGAAGTGGCCGTATTATGGGTGAACAGAAGGGCTGGGCGACAGGTACTTGCCACCATCATACAGGCCGAATCATAAAGGACGGCATTGATCCGTGCTTTGGCTGGCACAAGAGGTCGAAACAGAAGTTATTAGAGGAACGATAGTGCTATGATGAGACTGTATCCTCGTTCCATCTCGTAAATTTGAGTCTCAAAGTTCTAGATGCCACGTCCACTACTGGATGAAATGCACTGACGCGCACAAAGTTGTAGACGATCACAACAAGCATAATTCTACTATAATCCAGCCAACTTATTTTATCCTTTCAAGAGCCTTCAAGATCTTGAAGCACTGCGCTGTGAGTGTGCGGAACAGACACAGCAGACATTGGGACTGCAGTTGGTGGTGCGTCAGATTGTGATGATCCTTTTTAACCACCTTGCGGAAGTTCGCCGATTGCAGGAAAAGCCACCACTGACACCACCCTCGGCGACTGCAACAGGAACGACAACACCCTCGTCAGCTCGGGACGCCAGTCTCACCTTCCTCAATGATCTGTTGCGTGTGCTGCTCTACGACCCAACAGTGCGATCAGCGCTCAGCAGCGATGGCATCACCGGCTCCACTGGTGCCTCCACCACAACCCCCGCTGCGTCAGTTACAAAACGACCATCCTCGTTGAGACGCAAATCTTGCTCCAATGTGAGTACGCACATTTGTCCTGATTATTACTAATGATGGGAGCATAAATCAACTTGATCTGTCCATCCGCAAACAATTCAAGCAATATAATTGGATGGTGATGTGAGCTATTCTCTGTAGCCTCCAGGGTCGTGGAGTGGCGGTGGAGTCTTGGAAGATCTGGAAGAGGAGGACCAATCACGCCTGGGTGCTATGGAAGAGAGCACCTCCTTCGAGGACGATCTTCGACTTACGCTCTTTTCCTCCTCCCATCACCACCGACAGCATCATCATCACCACCAGCAGCACCAGCATGCGATTGAACATTCATCCAGCGTCGGCAACATCAACAATAACGGCAATAGCAACATTCTGAATCCTTAGACCGTGCACACCATGGCATTCTCTCAGGGAAGCCGATTCTCTGCATCCACCTGAAACCTCCAACTATATGCCCACATCCCCCTTCCTTTCCACCCATCCCATCTATCCACCTGTCGATCAGTTGATTGTTTGATTGGTCTAGGCATTTACGTTTTTCGCATAGGATTGTCTCCGTCACCAATGTCACTGCTGACGCCTTTTCATTTATTCTGCTCTTTTTTGTCTCTCTCTTTGTCCTATCCATTTCTGTGTTTTTAGTATCAATTGGGCGAAGAAAAAACCACAAAACGAAAACAAGATCTGTTTGTTTGCGCGCGTTCTCCTTTTGTACCCATCTTTTGCCATGTAGGCTTTCGACACCTCATTTTGCCATTTTCGCGCGTTTTGTTTGCTGACTTTCCTCTCCTCCTCTCTCGTTTTTTTACAACTGCTTAGACATCCACAACCACCGCCACTGCCACCGATGCTACTATTAATATTTATTATGACTACTACTAATTATTGTTAATATTGGAAACAACACTAGTACTCCTCCTCCCCATCGCTATTTTTGATATTGACATCATGCAACACATCTACTTCTCCTGGCGCTCACCCTCTCTCTCTGACTATCACTAGCGATCTCAACATGCAAGACGCGTCACTAGATGAATTTCAGTAAGCGTAGATCCTAATTTTACACGTGACTCTGAGGGTGGGTGGATGGGTGTGTGTGAGTATATTTATGACCGTCATACTGCCATCCCTACTCCGCCTCCGCCTCCTCCTCGTCCACCACCTCTATCGACCCTACTTTCTGTCTGTCAGTCTACTTCGAGTTTTATACCAGTAATGACCATTTTCATTTATTCCCACTTTATATTATTACCAATATCTATTACCTCTATATGATACCTTTATGTATACCTATGTATGCTAGTGCACGTATGTGTGTTTAATTTGGAATCCACAGACACACACACAAACACATGTCCATGAATCATTTTTTCATGAATATTTTCTTGACATTATAAAACCACCTCCCTACCACTTAGCCCTCTTCTCATTTGCTCTTCCTTCTACTCTTCGTCTGGGGAAAAAGTGATAAATGCTAGGTGATTTTGGATGGTTAGGAATCGGTTCTCATCAAACCTTTGACGGTTTTGAGCTGGCTTTAGGAGGGCAATTTCCGTGGTCTCCACTAGTTGGGAAGCTAATGCTGCAGCGTATGCAACTCTGAATAACGGGTTGAGCTGATGGAGGATGGAGTTCAGTGCCAATTTCGGTCTTGGGGTTCGTCGATCGTGTCAGAGATCTAGGCAGGGATTAAAGTTAGTATTGAAGGGAATTATGATTACCTTGCGAAACCTTAATCCCCGCCTCAACGTTTCCACTGGTCAGTTCTTATTTTTTGGCCCCTAGATGGACTTTTGAAGAGCGACTTTCATGAAACTGAAACCGAGTTCAAAGTTCGCATCTTCCCTCTACGTTGGCAACCTCTGGACCCAACTGATTGATAAGTGGGGTGGTGAGAATTTGTGTGGCGTGAGAATACACCAGCCGAAATGTGAATTTAAGGGGAAAAGTGATTTAGGTTTGTGAAGCAGTTCCCAGTGCGTAGTCAACGTCACCACCCTAACATTCTTGGTTTGCCTTTCGAAGAGCGGGCCTTGTACAATACCGGATACATCCACATCCTCCGCAAAATAATCTTCGTTATCATTGTGAAGCCAATTAATTCTCATAAATAGCACAAAACGAATGATTAGGTTGAAGAGATTAGAAAGATGGTATTTTGGCGTGTAGCTGAACTTAAACGAAACTTATGTCGTGGCGTGGACACCTCGAAACAACAAGGAATAAAGGGTCTACCTGCCAAGAATGACTAGAGAATGCATAATATATAAAACCGAAGGATCCACTCCTAGAGGCGACGTTGATGAAATGTGTCATCTGATAAAGAACCTGGCTAACAGAGTGGCTTTGTTCTATGAACCATAAAAACAATCAGTCTAGGAACGAAGTACTTTTAGAGTTTACGAGTATCACTTAAGCGAGTCTTTGGCAGGCTTCTAACTCGACAAAGCTGAATATTAGAGCATAATATTTATCAAACAGGTAATAATCATTTTTTAGTGGACTGTCTTTCAGCTGACACCATTCACGGCACTCATTCTGGTGATGTGCGATATTACGCAGCTCTTCAACTCCCCAAGCGTCAATCCCATCACGAATGGAGTTCTCAACCTTTCCACGAATTCACCATGAATCAACTTCCTGACCTAAATAATTTGTAACTCCCTTAGAAGTAATTCGGATGCTGCAACGACACCCAACATGGCAGTTCGATCACTGCGGAGGTCCGCGAACAACCAATCGGAAGAGGGATAAATTAACCAATAGTGAAGCTCGTAACTCCGCGCCCGCGATCGGCCTGCTTGAAAAACGACCTGGAACACTTTTCCGGGAACTTCGTTGCATCTGTGGTAAATAATACCACTTTTGCGAATGCAGGGAATTCCAAAACTCGGTTTCTTAAAAGCAAATACGTTGCCTTTGGAATTGAGCTAAATGGTGCCTTGAGCGTCCTCTCGCTTTTGGACGTAGCCTTTCATTTAATGGGGGCAAAAAATTGATGTTTGTAGCAAAAATAACATATCTGCCATGTGGATCTTTTTTCCAACTTGAAAACTTCGCCATCTGTGAATGTAGCTTCAAATACTATGCCCTAGTGCTTGCTACACCTACCCGGAGGATTTGTTCATTGTAGTGTGTGAAAATTAATTTTAAATTTCTATTTAAAGCTACCTAATTAAATATTGGGCGCAATAAAGTTCCAGGTGAGAAGTCACAGTGTGAGTTTGACAAAACTGGCTCGTGAAATCCAGCGTCATGTCACTTGCTAGGTGGAGGCGTTTTTTGAAGTTCTGGGACATTGTAGCTGCTCGCACCTGATTGCAATATCGTAAGAGTCACTGTTAAAAATCACATACAGAATCGTCTCCTAGGCACATTTTTAAACAGATCGGTGGAAATGAAAACCTCAGTACTTGGGGTGGATTCGATTGAGAGAATTATCCAACATATAATGCATAATGTATATGATTAAAGGGTATTTAAGCAGTAGCAGTAAATCAGTATGGCTGACTTCTCCAAGTAACAAATTATGGTAGCTTCTCATTAAAGTGACGCATGTTTACCAGGCGAAGTAAGTTTTTGGATTTGAGGCCAAAAGCTACTACTTTACTAGTTTTTAGGAGTGTCAACAAAGGACCCGTCGAAATTGGCATTGACCTGGGGTTAGCTAGTAACATACTCAACTTGATGCACCATAGAGAGAGGTACTTAGTTAGTTCAAGCGAGGATAAATTAGAAACTGTGATTAGCAGACAAACAACACAGAAGACTAGTGACGAGGCAAGTGAACGCTGCGGAACACTTCGCCTCAGCGCATAATGCTGGCATCAGTCAGTGAGGCCGTGAAAGAAGTGGGAGCTAAGTGGCCACCAAAAGAGCGAGAAAGGCTAGTTCCCTAAACGATCCGACGTGTCATTAGACATGAGTCCTCTTAGACGTTGGTACATTTGTCGCGATTAACTTTGCCATTGCACAGCTATTTAAATTATTTGTGCATTAAATGTGCAGTCACTAGACGTAGAGATAAGGTGATACGTGACGTATAATGGGGAAAAGGAGTCGAGCAATTTAAACAAGATTGCGTTTAAAGGAATGTTCTAAATTCAGCAAGTGCTTTGCAAATTAGTAAAAAAATTCCATAAAAATTTCATTTTAAGGCGATTTTGGCTGAGCTGTTGGAATATGGTAATTTCTATGCTGATCTCATTTGCCAGGATTTAAGTTCAAGAATATCACAACTCCACTGTTTCGGCTAGTTAAGCAAAATACGTTCTCAATACCAAAGTATTTATAGGAATTTGAGAAACGTTTATTTTACACAATCAATAAATATTTAATTCAGCCAAAGGACGTGTCAGCAATATCTTAAGGAAAGTTTTGAAGTGCTGTTGAAAAATAGTTCTACAACACGCAAAGCTTACGGTTATGCGAGAAAATATTTTATGCGTGCCCAAATAATAGTTTTCAAGCCTCAACAAATAATCTGCTAAGTAATTGTAAGGAGGGTTTTTAACAATTTATGTTAGCTAAACAACTAATGCAATAGGTCTTAAAGCACTATTTGGCGGGGTGCATACATCCTACCCCGCGCATTATCTTCATCAGCGCGTGAGACCGAAATCATTAATTGCAAAATCGATTTTTATATTGCATTCTGACAAAACAGAAAATCATTAAAATTAGGACAGCGTTTGGCAAATCTTGGAGAGAAACATTTTTTTGAAGTGAAGCTTTAGTGCATGGCCAGTTTTAACACATTCACCCGCGTCTGTCCCGAAACTGGGTTCGTGCAATATCCCATTCCCTGATTAAAATAAGAGAGCCAAATTTGCTTCAAATAAACAAGCCTTGGGCAAGTTTAAATGTGGGCTCTACTGAAGTTAAATTTACCTAATAAAATTATTATTTTGCATTGAATGTTAAATTAAATTATTAAAAACAGGCTGTGCTCAGAATTGCTATTCAATAATATTACATTGCAATTTATGCCTACATGCCGATTTTAAATTTGGCATTTGAACTATGGTTAAACTAGCCCAAAAATTACCAAGTTTATGGCCTGTCGTTCTTAACGCCTTTCCTGTTGGCGCGATTTCAAAAGGGTCTTTGGCTTCTTGTGATATTCGTTTCTCAATATTAAGTGCCTTGTAGGGTCTGTTAGTTGTTTTTTTTTTTACCAGGGATTTGCTCTAAAATAAACATACTACTTTATTTTCCCAAAGTCCAAGCATTGCGCACCTCTTTAGAGTCACGTAACTTCCATGCATTTTTGCTTCGGTTTTCACTGATCTTACGGAAATATTTATCCTATTTTTCCCACTTTTCGTTTTTCGCGTCGTCAGCTATATCTTAGTATCTTTTTTGCTATGCTTTAGCCCACTGTTTGTTAGCGCAGTTCAGCGTAGAAGACGGTATTTTCACAACCTAATGATTTTTTGGAAAACGGAACTGCGAACTGATAAACGTATTTATACATTGTTTTAGGGTTGTGCCTTTCCTTTTTATAGCTGTTGCTGCTGCCCTTGACCACTGTAGGGGTGCGCTCTGCGGTCAGCGGGATAAGATCCTTGCTTGTTTATTGCCTTGTATTTTGTTACGTGTTAATTGTTCTCAGGTGGTTATCAAATTCCTAGGCAAGCAGCCTTAAGTACTTATTTGTGTTGGTGTGCCGATGCTCGCACATGGACTTTGCGTTGATTACGTCTCCGTCAAGGGCATTCTCTTTAATAGTGTTTCTAGAGGATAAATAAGAATAATTTTTTTTACTTTAGTGGACCCAATAATGCCAAAACGGAAAAATACCTACAATCAAGAAGTCGGCGACACCAAGAAACTGTAAGCCATTCGTCTACTTCCTCATTTCACTCATCACTTGTGCTTTGGACAGGAATTCGGCAGGGTCTTTTGTTTTGCACGGACTAGCACTGTTTATGTAATTTTGGAGCCTGCTGCTTATTGTGAAGATAAAAAAGACAAGTTCTATCTAAAAAATCTTACTGGTTTAACTGCTGTCAATGTCTGCTTTAATGCTTTTTAGAAAACCCTGTCCTGTCAAAGATACGGCTAACATAGACGTAATTATTTTATACTGTCCGCCACCTCGGCACTCTTGGCATTTGTAGCTGCATGGTGGTTTGGCGCATTACACTCACTCAAATGATAAAACGCTTCACGAGGGCTTGTTCTATGGTCACTCATTCTTTTTTCACTACCCTTTTAATCCTCTCAACCATCTTTTGTGGTTCCGGTTTGTTCAAATCCAGTCCCAATTCAGTACCGGCTACCATTCAGATTTCGAGATTGGGTTGAAGGGATTTTGACGGCCTCTTTGCCACAATTATCCATCGATTCAGTTATCCTCAGGGTATATTCCTTCTGGGAATTTTTGCCGTCATATTTACCCAGCAAAATTAGGATCATTTTTGAGCGGGTTTGCCAGGATTGTCGTGTCTGAGTTCCTCCAGAAGAAGCTTGAAAGCAGCTCTTTTACGAACTTACAGAGTGTGGACAAAGACGCTGGAGACTCCAGAAACTCACGTATAATAAGTAACATTCCGTCATACTAATCCTCTTTCAGTAAACGAACAACTCTCCTGGCCGAATCAGCACCAGCCATCCCAGACAACTGGACGCAGGGTATCTCACTGCTGATCTACAAAGACCGTAAAGCAAAGGCCTCTTCGAAAGTGAGTTCTTTGGAAAACGTCACGACCTCTCTCCTTCCTATAGGTCCTCGGTCTAGATTTGGACGGCACCGTTATTACGCCATCATCTGGTCGAGTCTTTCCAGTGGATGCCAATGATTGGAAGTGAGAATTTCGTTGATTCGTCAAGCGAATCTCTTGAATAGGCTCATTTCACCACGGATTCCCGATATTCTAAAGCGTTTTGCGGATGAAGGCTACGCAATTGTTATCATGTCTAATCAGGTGCGTGATGGTTGCCTGTGCCAGCTAACGCGTTTTTTTGCTGCTGTCAACGATTTGATTGTAGGACTTTATTTGTAGTTGAGGCTGTTAGACGAGATGACACGAGCTGTACTAAGATTTTTTTGGAGAGAAGGTTAAAATGGGAATATTAGAAGTGCAGCTAGGTTAGTGATATTTATGGGCTGTCTGTTGTTGTTTATCAAAGCATTCTTTACACTAAACTTGATTGGCTTCATTTTTGAAATATTTCTTCAACTTGTTTGTCATTTGAATCTTCGGTTCTATTGTTACTGTAGGAACAAACGTGACATGGTAGGGATTTTTAGGAGATCAAAAGTTAGAGATTATCAGTTTTTCGAAGCGTGTCGCGACCAAAATGAAGGCATTGGCAACCAGCGATGTGAATAGCCCAAGAGTCCAGCTAACAAACTGTTGGACCAGCCAAGGTTGTTTGAAGAGTCCTGCTTTAGGAGATAAGTTGGGTATTACGTGTGGGATTTGAGCCGAGACCACGGTGGGGGGTAGTGATAACCCCCAAGGCTAGTTTTAGCGGACACGTCCTTCTCGGATCGAATGTAGATTTCAGTCTAACAGTAATGATAAAACAGAGCTGAATGGTATTTAGGTGCCTTCTTTACTTCTGGGCAGTTTCGATGGCTGATTAAAAGCTTGGTAGCTTAACAGAGCAAGATTCCAAGTCGAAATAAGAAGCCGGCGGCTGGTTAAATTATCACTTTATATACAAAGCAAGCAGTATATTTCCTTTAATTCGTATACTTTCTTTTTAGGGTGGTTTGGAAAAAATGCAGGATAAGAAGATTCCCGAATTCAAAACTAGGTTTGAGGCAGTATTAAGTAAAATCGGCGTTCCCATCCGGGCCTATTTTGCCATTTCCAACGACGTCAACAGAAAGCCGCGAATAGGCATGTGGCAAGCGCTGGAAGCTGTAGGTTTGAAGTGTTTGTTCTCCCTACTTTCTAAATTTCCTTTGAAAGGATAACGATGGCATAGAAATTGACAGGAAGGTCTCTATCTACTGTGGAGGTGAGCACGGTCCGCTTTATTTAATTTATCTGTTTTCAGACCCCTTTAATTAGGAGATGCTTGTTAAAGTTTTGTGTTTAAATTAACGAATTTAGATGCTGCGGGACGAGTAGCTAAGGGCAAGATTAAGCAGGACCACTCGCATTGTGATCGCTTGGTGAGTTGGTTTTTTTAAGAGAAAGGTGACAATATTTTTTTGTAGCTCTTGAGTTATTTCTGAAGATATTATTAACCATAAAGTCTGGCAGTGGGGTTTTAACCAGTTTACAGGAGAGTCAGAAGATTTGCCATGGATATGACTACACAATAGAATAATTTTACTAGCACGTTACATTTCTATTTAAACGTATGTGAGAGGGCTAAATTGTGCTCATGTTGATATGGTACTCTGGTCGTGCCAATTATGCTACCCCTCTTGTAGTTATTCTGAGTACCGATAACCAGCTACTTTCGGTTTCGTTTAATGTCTGGAAGTGTCTCGGGCTCTCTAATTACCGTAGTTGGCTGTTATTCACTAACCCTTTGATACAATGAAGGGAGGAGTGGATTCTCAATCTTTTAATTCCATGTTTGTCTAGAAGGGAGCTATGGTTTCATAGCCACATCTCACCTGCGTTGCACTTGGTCTGTTTCTGAAAGCATGTCATCGTACAAAAAAGAATTGAAGGGTTGAAAACGTGGATTACTTGATTGTAAGCGGGAGGGAGACCTTGCGTAGCATCGCAAATAAGTTAACAAGTAAACCTTGTCCATAAGAGTAGTGAAAAAAAAGTTAAGTTTTCAAGTCATTTTTTTACCCTGCCAGTTTGCCGAGAACCTGGGAGTGCTCTTCAAAACGCCGGAGGAGTTGTGGAAGGAAGGGGAGCGGGTTGACTCCACCTATCCTCTGCTATTTAATCCAAAAGAGTTTCAAGATATCGCCTTTTCAACGTCATCCCCTGTACCTCCCCCCTTAAAGGATTTTCCGTCAAAGGGCGCGGTTCTCATTCTCATGATTGGATATCCTGCTTGTAAGTGTACAAGAGACTTGATTGATATAAAGATTTATTTTCTCTTTTATCTCACATGGTTCAAGTTTGACTCATTCATTACGTCATATCCTTGACGGTAATTCTAACTACTTAAATCAAATTCCAGTATAAACCGATGGGTTTTACCAAACGCCTCTCTGAACAAAAACTAACTCTTGGAAAGGCCAATAACACCAGAATGGAGAAGAATCGAGTTTAATTTTGATTAACTGCAACTAACTTAACGACGCGCGGTACCTGAGAGGGAGGCGAGCGTGTCCGATAGCTAGGTTACATCAACCAATGGGGAGACAATGTGAAAAGGAGTTTTTTGTATCCATCATGTTTCCATCCATCCATCCATCCATCCACCCATCCATCCTGTATCCATCCATCCTGT